CTGCGAAGGGCTTTGGGACAGAGGATAGAGACCAGCCGCTCTCCAGCTCCACTGAGGACAGAGCCAGAGGAAAAGGGCCGAAGCTGCAGCGTAAGGGATTGAGGTTAGACAGGGTGAGACCCCTAACAAGTAATCAGGGGAGGCTCTACCTTCTCTTCCTTCTGGAAATGAAGAAGCCAGGCTTGCCTTGGTCTAGTGGGTTGGACCCTGGCTAGAGACAGTGGGATGGGTGGGGTGACCTTGAGGCTCTTGTTATGGTGTCTGCAGATGTCCTGGAGTGTGGCCTGGTGGATTCTCCTCTGTGCTGGCTCTCGCAGGGTGGGGGTTGGGGTGCTGAGGTCCTCTCCCCAACTCCTGGGCTAGGCTCCTAATTGAACTCCCCCCTCATTCCTCCTTCAGTTACCATGGAAACTCTGGGGAAGTTGGCTGCTATGTGGCTTCTCGACCTCTGACCAAGGACAGCAATTATTTCGAGGTGATGGAAGCAGGGGGTGGGCAGAGAGGGGATGAGATCATTAAGTTCCAAGGAGTGCCTTTACTGGATTCACGGCCTGGTCCTTTCAGTTTTTTGTCAGGGCCGTTCTGTTAGCCTGGAAAAGCGTGTGGGATAACACAGCGCCTAACCTGATAGGTGCCTTCCAGTCCTGTCACCCTGTCCCTTTTGCTCTCTTACCCTTCAGCAAGTACACTTTGACCCATACCTCAGACTTGGACCCATGTCCTTTTTCACCCCTAAGCCCAAACCCGGCATCTACTCCATTTCCTCTTTTACCAAAACTTGGAGATAATTTCCTAACTAACTGTAGCCAGGCAGACCCCACTCTCCCCAGTTCTCCCTCTGAGTGTCCTGCATTGTCTCTGATTCCAATGACTATTGTGTTTTTGAGCCTTAGCCCCCGGGATCCCAATCTCCTCCCACCCATCCCTGCTGCCTTCCTCCAGGTGTCGATCGTGGACAGTGGAGTCCGGGGCACCATCGCTGTGGGGCTAGTCCCTCAGTACTACAGCCTGGATCACCAGCCTGGGTGGTTGCCTGACTCCGTGGCCTACCATGCTGATGACGGCAAGTGAGTCACCTCCTGCAGCACCTGACCCCTTTCCTATGGATTTGGGGATCTTAGAGTTGAAGGACTGCCTCAAGGGGACTATTTGCTTTCCTGCTCTTATGTTGGGGTATTTTCATAAACTTTCTGACCTGGACTGGGAGGTGGCCTGGCAGCTGCCCTTAGTGGGTTGCCCAGGACGAAGGTGGTGACCGGGAGCAGCCCAATGAGGCCTTAGCCCTCAGTGCTGGGGAGAAGCTGGGAAGCCATGCTTGTCCTGTGTCTGTGCTCCTCTGCCCACAGGCTGTACAATGGCCGAGCCAAGGGCCGCCAGTTTGGGTCAAAGTGCAACTCTGGGGACCGGATTGGCTGTGGCATTGAGCCTGTGTCCTTTGATGTGCAGACTGCCCAGATCTTCTTCACCAAAAACGGGAAGCGGGTAAGTGGAAATCCCAGGTGGGATTAAGTGTCTTGAAGTTGCCCAGAGAACCACCTGCTTAGTTCCTGTCTCGTTTGGTTCAACCTCAGATTTCCCAGCAGTTTTCTATATGTAGAAGACACTTCCCCTGCCCAGGGGAAGCTGGGATATTACCCAGGTAACAGGCATAGAGGAGCAGGACAGTGCAGCAGAGGACAGCAGAATTCGTGGGGAACAGAATTGGGCAATTGGGGGATTTTTTTTTTTTTAATGAACTCAACAGAGAGACAGAGGGAAAATGAGAAATCACCCACCAGAGGAGCTGGCCATGCGCTAATCCCTTGTCCTCCGTTCTTCTCTCGGGATTTTGGGCATGCACACGTATGCACTCAGCATGATTTTTCAGCTGCTGGATCCAGGGTTTGAACTGTAGTCAGCCATGTGAGTATCTAACACCTTAACCACCACACCCCATGCTGGCCCCTGGGGGGCAATTTTGAGCAGATAAAAAGAGGCGAAGATTATGGCCTAGCTGCTTCAACCAGAGGTCCACTTTGGGCTTTTGACTTGAGTATTTTGGGCAATATGTCCTTTCTGTGTTTACTTTCTTGGTTTCACTTCTCCCCTGTTCTCTTCAGAGACTAGTATTAGTGGAGAAATGGGACAAGAGCAGGCGGTAGAGAGATGTCTAGCTTTCTACCTCCTATTCTACTCCATCTCCCACCTTGGGAAAAATGCCTTCTCAGGCCTTGGCTGAGGCCCTGCTTTCTTCGCATCGGTGCCTCGGCGTTTTCCTGCTCCAGCACACAGGCACACATGTACCCAAAGTATTTGGCAGCAAATCCAGAGACTCGTGTTAACTCTGTGGAGACCCTGTTTGGCTGGAGTGCTCAGCAAACTTTTAAGCTTGTCCGTACTTCTGAGGTTTTGTATCTGTCTGTGTGATAATTACTGGCTCTGGTATCTTACGAGCGCTCGTGTCAGAATGAGGTGAGCTGTGGAAAGTGAACCAGCGGCAGCTCATCCCTCTCCCCCTTCCCATCCGCTGCAGGTGGGCTCTACCATCATGCCCATGTCCCCGGATGGGCTGTTTCCAGCAGTGGGCATGCACTCCCTGGGGGAGGAGGTACGGCTGCACCTCAACGCTGAGCTGGGCCGTGAGGACGACAGCATTATGATGGTGGATAGTTACGAGGACGAGTGGGGCCGGCTGCATGACGTCAGGGTGTGTGGCACCGTAAGTAAAGGACTGCGGGAGTGGGAGGCTTGGCCGAGAGGGCTGGGCAGAACTTCTGAATTGCCTGGAGTGGGTAGCGAGGACAGTGTCTTTCATGGGGTTTTGGGAAATGGGAGTTTTGGCACAATCTTTTGAGTTCAGACTATGTTCTCCTTAGCATGAGTTCTCTTCCTTTCCCCTTCATTCGAGAGCTCAGGTCACTTATGTGACCCTGGAGAGGCTAGAAATTCCCTTTTGCCCTTGTTGGTTCCTACAGCTTCTGGGGCCCTCTTGGCATGTACACCTGCCCTGGAGGGGCTGGGGCTGGTTTGGACTCAGGATGCCTGGAGCCCCTCTTGGCTTGATCTCAGCTCTGCTGGCTCAAGATTTCCCTTCACAGTGCTGGGAGGCAGGTGTGGCCCCAAGTCTCACACATGTGAGAGATGGTTCTTTTTGAAATTTTCTTTTTTTTTCTTTCCAAGGAGAAGCTAGGTTTAGAGCTGGACAAGTACCTGGGTCAAGACCTGAGCAAGTTCACTGAGCTTTTCTTGAATGAGCTTCGTTGTCAGGCTCTTCTGTCTTTTCCCT